GAAATTCGAGGCCAGGCCATATGCGATACGGTGGTCCATATTTACGCGTCCAGTTAGTTGACGCAAATGTTAAAATCGCGAAAATTGTTTTCAAGTGGTTAAGCATAATGTACGTACACCCAAACAAAGGATTAAACAAGACAGAATTCGTAGGATGAAGTTTGAGAAGATGGTTTTAATTACTTCTTGAAACAATTCTCTTTCGGGATTTGGCATAGTTTGCTGGTAGCAGATGGTCCGTCTGACGATGTCCATCGTGTACCCTCACAGCAGGTTGGGCGCAAGAACAGCGACTTCAGCGTGAGTTGATTTATAGAGATAGTGGGTTTGCGCTGCATCTACCACACTCTCCTCCTCACCCATCTTGACCCGGTCTCAAGGCAGACCCCAGAAGACCGGGGGCCGCAGGGGGCGCAGGTTTTTTAGGTTGACGTGAAACCGCGCCCGGGCGCGCTCTCACCCCCTGGTGCTGTCTGTGTCACGTGTTACACGGTAGCTTCAGATAATCCACTGGACCCTATCTTGTCTATTCGGCTTGACTCTAACGGGCCACTGGGACATTTGAGAGGCTCGAGAGTGGGGAAGATTCCGCCGGGATCAAGTTCTCATTCCTCCATACATGCAAATAAGTACGCATTCAGATCCCCAGGACAAATGAACAGTCTTGGCTTGGGATATCTCCATCTGATGGTGTAATTTGGAAGTCCCCCTTCGTCTGTAGTGGTCGAACTATGAATAAGTACTCGATTTGTAGCAACGAGGAGTGCCAGATGGCGGGAACTGATGAATTTCTGTTCACTAAGGTGCCCATGATCCATTCGGCGAACTCTATCTGTCGATTATTCCAACTCAATGTCCTCGACTGTTTGTGTTTTTATTCCATCATCTCGGCCCGGCTTGCGGTTCACTGAGTGAAAACCGAATAATTGTAGAACAGCGCTACTCCGATATAACCGCGCAAAGTCGTTTTCGCCGGTAGCAAGCTGGCGGGCGGACAGAATGGGATCGAGTGCGATCTTAACCACAACAGTGAGGGTCACACACCTACCTGGCATATACATAATATGGTAGAGGGGTGCTCTTAGCGGGCTTAGTCAATCAATAACGTGATCCTACGCTAAATTCAAGAAAAGCCAATCGAAACGAGCACGTCCGAACGGAGTTGCCTGTCAGCGCCGCCCACTGAAGAACAATGGCAGTGGGTGAAAGGTCACTCGAAGTGTGCAACACCTGTGGCTCGATCCCGTGACCTGTTGGTTAGAAGTCCAACGCCTCTAACCCCTGAGACGAGGGTTCGCCGTCCTGTCTATTGCGATTTGGAATATAAAATAGTGGAAGGGCGCTCACCCATCGCGCTACGGAACTCACCCCTCCCGTTGTGCCTTGGGGTTTCCCCCGAGCCCCGCTAACAGCCGTACGGCGGGGCGTCATACAGGCAGAATAGCGTTACTCAAAAGACGAGGGAGACTGGCATGGCCATTTCTGGCTCATCAGCCAGTGTAATTTACCGTATCTTACGCTCTCCTAGCACCTATAGGGGCACGCGCACGATGTTCCTCACTGTTTATGGGGTGGGCATTTGTATGGCGGAGACTGCCTTTCGAGAATGACCAATCTTGACTACGCAAAGTGGTGAGTTAGAACGCAGTGTCTTATTGGTCATTACTTGGTTTCTTGTACAAATAGTATAATAATGTACAATAAACATAAATTAGCTGGAGGATCTATGACTCAATTCTGTTCGATTTTCTTTCCAAATCACCTCTCAACCAATCACAACGGTGGAAGCCAATCTTTTGACTTCCTCGACTTTTGAGGCCCAATAAATACGGTCGAGAAATAACCGTGAACAACCTGGATGCCCCAGCTCTGGCCTCCGTTCCTCCCCGAATTTGTCCCTGCCCTAGCCCTTGTACAGTGGAACGTTTAGCAGGACTTATATGTCGGTTAGCCTTAGTAAACTCGTTTTTTTACTAACTGACCTCCTCTTTTGCCTTTTGGCTAGACGTCCTTCCAGACAGGTTCGTTACACCTACCGTACTCAACATCATGTTTGGGGCGCCTGGTATCTTAACCAGGATCTTTGGTCATCGAATAAAACGCAGGTCTAAGGAATCTGAAGTCCGAACTCGTGTTCTTTGGTCATTGGGCGTTAAGTAGTCCAACGTTCTACAATTGAGCCACGAGCTTGTTTTTCTCTCGGATTTTGACATGATATATTAACAATGGAGGATGAGGACTAGTCTGGGTTTGGGTAAGTCCGACTGACCAAGGCTAGTAAGCCAGCAATGACCATTTTGGTTTCCCTTGCCTTTGTCGGCAATCCATTACCTGCATATGCAGCTAGTCATAGTGCCTGGTTGAACGCCAAGGCACAACGAAACGAGTCCGTCCCATAACCCGTCATCCACCTTTCGCCCGTGGAGGTCGAGTATTAACACCCGGGAAAAAATCTCGTGGCAGATCCTTAGCTAATACAGTATTGCTTTGTCAGTCAGATGTGATTATGTAGCCGCACCTGAGGTAAGCAAACCCTAGCCGCCTGTAATACGGCACCGGTGGTAAAAGGGGTTCTTACAGGTGGGTTCGGGGAACGCACAGGCGACGAGGTCAAGTATTTGTGTGCAAAAGAAAAGCCATTGGAAATGCGCGGGTGTACTTTTAGTGGTTGAGAAATAGTTGCTCTAACCCTAAACCCAACCCCTAACAGTATTGCATTCGTCAGGTGCGTCTACATAACCGTTTTGCCTTTTATTCCCGAAGTAAAGAAGAGAGGATCCCTTTATTTACTTAGTCAACACCACTTCCCCCGCATGGACTAACCATCTCTTTCCCGCAAATTGCTTGCAAAGTTCTCTCTGGGACCTTTTATTGACCAGTATCAATACACACACTTGCCTGCCTGAAAACAAGGATTATATTTCTAGGTTACCCCATGTCATGTGCACTGTCGCATCGCCCACGCCAAGCCTGCTTCTTGGGGATGCAGACCAAGCCTGCGAGTCGTTGACACTGACCGATCAAAACTACGCAGTTGCACCCATGACGCATGCCAGGAGATGCGGACCCATCTGTACTCTTCTTTCGTGGACCTGACAAAGCCTTCGATACGGTGAATCGTGAAGGACTGTGGAAGATCATGCAGAAATTCGGCTGTCCGGAGCGATTCACTCAGATGGTGCGTCAGCTGCACGACGGTATGATGGCGCGAGTCACGGACAACGGTGCTGTCTCAGAGGCATTCGCAGTGACCAACGGAGTGAAGCAGGGATGCGTGCTGGCGTTGACACTGACCGATCAAAACTACGCAGTTGCACCCATGACGCATGCTTGAATGAGTGTATGGTCAGTCTGAATGAACTCTGAAACTCCGTACCCATCCACTATCGATCTGACTGCCGTCACAAACTGTCGGCTAGTGGATGCTGGAGCTGATATTTCTGACTTGTTTGCTGTCGCCAGCTAACCAATGCCCAACGTGAGACAGCGGGGACCAGTTGATTGAATCCATTCCAGGCGGTCCTTGATCCTACGCCCTGCCAATGAGGCGTGCGATCACATTCTGCTATATCCCGTCAGGATTACGTAACGTCGCGTTGAGCCGGTATTTCCTAACCTTGCTTGGTCATGAGTTGTCTGTTTGTCCTTTTGACCCTGCTCCGGAGCCAACACTGGTGGTAGTCGGGCCACAGGCAGTTACTAGTTGACTTTTTCTGGCCCATTTCTCGTTATCAACCAGCTACAACTCGATCCCAACCCTGGAAGACGCGTGGTGCGAACTCAGAGGCCTTTTAAAGTGACGTTTACTGATCTAACTGGATCATGTTTAAACGGCCACGGACATTTCCCAAGTTCGTATTGGAAGGAATGGAAGATGTTTGGCTGTGACCGGAATTGCTTGCTCTGCGTTCCCTGTTGGTGCTTTGTCAAATAGATAAAAATATTCTCATGCCCACCCCTACCCGTCAGTACAGCATAAAGATAGCAGTTTACGGTGCGAAGACCTGCAAATATATTCCGATATCCATGGGCACTGAATGCCGGCCGTGGCAATCGGGGCGGACTCAGGCTTTGTAATTCTCCCTTAATAAATGAACACAATAGGATCCATTATCCCTACTTCTCGCCTCAGAACGCTTCACGTGTTCAATATCGACCCGCATACAGTCACGTGCAGTCGCCTAGAGGCCGTCAGCACTGTGCGCTGATTGGCTCAATTTCCTTGTAACCACCGCCTGACCTGCTGTCGCCCGCATCTGGGACAATAGAGTCTACACGAGTCCGAAATCTAAAACAGGAAAGCTAGCGGTTCCTCTGACTGACTCGTCTCCTTCCTCCTTACGCGAATTCCAGACTAGACCTAGGCTTACGACAGTATGGAGGCGTGACCCTTGCGCGTAAATTATTCAAACACTTCATCGATTGAATTCGTGGTGTAATTGGACCCTGAACACGTGTTTTTTTACCAATGTCGGCAAGGAAAAGCCTGAGACACTGACAGCCAAATGCCAACATCAGCTATCCAAGCTCACCTCTATCCTCCCAAAGGTCTTAAATAGAATAAAATCAAGGCTGGACACAGCCTCAACCCCCATTTGACCATAAGATGATGCACACTGCGCGACCGGCTTCGAGAGAATCTGCGCAGGAAGCCAAGGCTTATCCACGATCCAGGTTTCGTGAACGCCCTGCACACCCCAGTAAACTCTTTGAAGACTGTCCTAGAAGGAGTTGTGAGTGCGAGGGCTCACTAGCGCCATTGGGTCCTCCGGTGAGCTCATTCTGCACCCCGTCCTCGGGGGACAGAACATCCCGCGGGGCATCCTCCAACATACTCTCTGAAAGCCAACAAACTACAATCGGGTCTTGTGGAAGGGCAAGTGTAGATGATGCCGATGATAGAGCTGGGGTGAGTGAGGCTGGGGAGACAGAAAGCACCAGCCACAGTTTTCAGTGCGCCGAAAGTGATTCGACAAGCTGCCAAATTTTCAACTCCAGTCAGGCGGAAGAGAGCTGCAGTGGCCCAACGACGCCAGCGAATCAGTTACATTCCCCCTTTGTCGGCCGACACTCTCGCAGCTGTGGGGACGGTGGTAGCGAGGTACTGGTACCGCAGCAAAATCCCTGCTCATTCTCTCTCACCCTCGTACCCCCCGTTCTCGATTCGACAGCCAGCTTAATGAAATATCGCGTTAAATATCCACTTCTTCTAGCCAATCTACGACGTGCACTGTTGTGTGAAAGAGTTGCTGGAGACGCAGAGAATATTCTAGACAGTTTTGCCGTGGAGGTGTTGGAAAAACGCCGAGTAAAGACCACAGCACCTGTATCCCTCGCTTTGACAAATCAATCACCCACAGAAGTTGATCAGCTTGGTACTCTGATAAACGAAGGTATCCGATTCATCAAACATCAATGGAAGTGTCATTACTACGCCCTTATCGATGCGGTGGACTTGCTTTACAAGGACTACCAACTTCTTTATCATATCAATCGAGATGGCAGTCGTACCTTGGCCACCAGTTCACCATACCATGTGGTTGCATCTTATAGGGATCCGTTTGGCTTCCAGGAGGGCCATAATGATGAGACTCGCGTGATGGCTGGAACAGATCCGGTCAACTACCTGGTCCACCTCCTTTCGAAACATCTACCCTGCATAGAAGCCAGAACGCACGTGCGAGGGGACACCGTGCAACCCCTATCCTCCGGCAGGCGTCAGCGACGCCATCAGTCGGCTTCGTGGGCGGTCCTGCCCGCGCATCGTTTCTTCGCCTCCGTTGCTTTCATCCAAGACGTGATTGCTCAGTGTCGATTGATCCACCTGGAGTTGGACAAGCAGCTGGCTTTCCAGACACGAGTCATGCACATCATCAGACAGGCCAAGGAGCAGAAGGTCCAGCTGGAGGCCTGTATGGCTGAACAGAAGCAAAAGATCTTTACACTGGCGGATACCATTAAGAAGTCACGACAGGAGCTGGAGGAGATGGTGGCCAGGTCTGTCGCCTCAAAACGACTTCGGCAAGAACAGCAGGCGGCGGCGGCGGCAGCAGCAGAGAGAGCACAACGAAGCAGCGAAGCAGAACCACACACGTTGGCTGGTAAACGGAAGCGATTGGAAGACCTCAGACGAACACTGGTTACTAAAACAGCGCGTCTAGCCGCTCTTGAACGTGTGCTACGTGAGGAGGAGACGCGAAGGCGAAGACTACACAACCGGCTGCAGGAGATTAATGGTAACATCAGGGTCTACTGTCGAGTCCGACCGCCCGCCAACGAGGGCTATCCCGCTACTGCCAGCGGCGCTACTAGTTACATCCGGGTAGCATCAGACGACAAATTACTGATTTGCCCGGACGCGCTCCCCGATACTCGTGACTGTCGCAGCGGTGCACTCCTACTAAAATCGTTAAAGTCTAATAGCGGACCTGATGGTATGCGATGTTTCATCTTCGACAAGGTCTTTGGACCGGAAGCCAAGCAGTCAACTGTGTACAGAGAGGTGGAGGACCTAGTAATCTCCTGTGTAGACGGATACAACGTCTGCATCATAGCCTATGGACAGACTGGCAGCGGGAAGACGCACACCATGGTGGGAACTCAGGAAGAACCTGGAGTAAACAGACGGGCTATCCAGAGATTACTGCGTCTTTGCAATGACCGACATCACTGGGAGTACCGCCTATCCATGAGTATGTTGGAGGTCTATCAGGAGGAGGTCTTTGATCTACTGGACTCACTTGAGCCTCCGACCTGGGGCATCTCCGCCGAGCAACTCTCTCGCACCTCCTCCGACGAGATCTCCCCTCATCGCCCCAACAGTCGGAACTCGAACTCAAAACTGTCAAGCCGTAGCCGTAGCACTGCCCCTAGCATTGCGAGCGGTTGCGCTCGGAAGCCGACCCCTGCAGGCTTCATCACTACCTGTGGTACCAACAGTTTCGCCAAACCACGGCCTTCAGTGCTCCGACGAAGGAGTGTTGTCAAACTCCTCTCCACCCAGGAGGATGAGCTTGTGTTGCAGAACCTTACAGAGCGGCCCATTATGACTGAGCGGGATGTCTTGGACTGCCTTAATTTGGGTGAACAGAGGCGCAGTGTCGGTGCAACCCAGTTGAACAGAGCCAGTTCGCGCTCACACCTCATCCTCCTGCTGAGAGTCAGTGGAGAACACCGGCTGCATCGCAATCACAGTCGTGGCACTCTGATTTTGGCCGATTTAGCGGGCTCCGAAAATGTCACCAAATCGGGTTCCGTCGGCCAGCGTCTTCAGGAGGCAGCCTGCATCAATCGGTCTCTCTGCTGCCTTGGTCGTGTTTTTGACGCTCTGCGTCGGCGGGAGAAGCCTGCCTACCGGGAGACCAAGTTGACCTACCTGCTAAAGCCAACTCTGGGCGGAGACTCAAAGTGCCTGCTCTTTATCAACGTTCGAGGAGAGCCGGAGCATGCGGATGAGACCCTGCGGGCCATCAACTTTGGTCAGAATGCACTCCAGGTAGCGCCCTGGAAGTCGGCTTCGTCGCATAAGAGCGCTGGTGTTTGGAGTGAGGGCAGTCGTCTGATGACTCACTTGGACTCCAGCCAGATGCCGCGACCTGCACAGAGACGAGTACCGGGTGTAGGTAGAAGGCCGGTCCCACGGAAGGTCTGGGATCAGCCTCTTTTGCACTGATGTGGCATTCTCTCTCTCTTCCTCCCATCTGTCCCCTTTTTCTAACCTCGGCCTCTTTGACACGCCGTGACTACAATCATCCGACCCTACTGTACGCATGCTTTTTTCTATTGGTCCATGGGTGAGGCCACCCCAACGATCCAGATGCGCATCGTCTCCCTAGCCTGATGGAAAACGCTAACCCAGAAGGGGTGGGGGAATGGGATGTCTGCTTTGCTTTCCGACCGTTCGAAGCGTTAATTGCTCTCTAAATTTAACTATCTGGCCGGCTGGTGAATCCCCACATTATGCGCATCGTCAGGCTGGTACTTGTGGACCGTAGGCTCTAGCGCAAATAAACCTTTAGTAGGGTAAACAACAACAACAACACCCTTTGACGTCGAAGAATGTCTGAGCGCCTCAATATCAGACAAACTTTCGATGAAAGCGATTCGGATTCCAGATAGTTAGATGTATCCAGTCTCATGGTTGCCAGTACTGCCGTTGCCAGCCAACCAGGCGACGAATGAAAGTCAGGTGACATGCAGTCCTTGCAGGGTGACCCAGGCCTGTTACGGGTCGACCGAAGGTGACCGGGTGCTCAGCGTCCTCGCGGTCAAGCCTCCATTAAAGTCCTAAGTGCCAGTGTCAAGGATCGGTGCATAGACAGCAAGCTGGTCTTCCAATCCGGCTAGCAGGGCGACTGTACTCAGTAAGATGACTCGGTGGCTGCCGCCTTGGCTCTCTTCAGTTTGACGTACAGGTCATTGTAGAAATTCCCAAAGAGCCCAAGGAGGATGCAGGTGGAGAGTGGGGAAGAGAGGGAGCGTGGTAGATACTACACAAGTCCACTATCACTTTAAACTAATTCACGCGCAATTCACCATGCCTGCTGCACCTAGCTGTGTGGCACACGGCGGACATCGTGGGAATCGACGGTGTTGGGGACGATCCCACCTAGGCTGCCACTCTGATGACCGTGAGCGGTCTCTATCTCATAATTAAGACCTGCTTGACCTACTGATATCGGCGGGGATCAGAGGGTTGTTCACTTTTGTCCAAAAACGGATTCCCACTTGTCTGTCTGGACGGTCCAACGTAAAAGAACGCCTGTGCCATACAGTGGCGGGGCGATGGATGCACCGCATGTGCGATGAATAAATGCACCTACAGAAGGCTCTTCAGGGAGAACATAGCATGCCAACTGATGTACCAACATCATTTAGCCACGTGTTCGCGTGAAAACGAAGCCACTTTTCAAGGTTGCTGGAACAATACGGAACAATGGGATTCCGCCCCGCGTAACGACGATACGAGATCTTAGGAGGCTACTGATATTCCAAAATTAATTTGCATCGTCTACCGTTTCTCAAAGTGAAAGTGGTGTGGAGAGGGTTTTGATCGAATATGGCTTAGAGGCAAGAATGCCTTTTAAAGTTCTCTGGTCGAATGAAAACCACAAGCGAACCTTCTTGAGGTTAAGTAGTCTACGGTTTATCCGGCGGCATATGCAAAGTAATAGTGACTGACGAGTCCGGATTTCAACCGGGAAGGATTAACGGTCGAGTTACGATTTGGTGGTCGGGGGGACGAACTGATCCCCGACGGGGTGAATACTTCTACTTCCAAGGTCATGGAGGTTCAGACCGTGTTTAGGCAGTTATCTGGAACTCTGGAAAGGGCTGCTTGATTCCCCATGATGAGAGCGCAATATTCTGCGCTCAATAGATGTACTGCGATATCATCTACTCCCAATATGTCCATCCCTTTTTAGGATAACAATACACATTGTCATTTATTTTGTCCTGTTTAGGATTTCAAAAGGTCTTCGTATCAGATATTTAACATGGTTGGCTGGGTATCCTGATATTAATTCAATAGAACACGTTCGGGATTACCTCTACCGATGATTCCCTACAACTTGGGCTCGCTTTCGTGAATGACTGGAATATGAAAGGACAGGAACAAACTACATCCTCATCTGCGATTTAGAATTGCAATTCTGCAAAAGGTGGATCAGCCCGATAGTTATAACCAACTTGCCTTCTCCTATTGGTCTTAATTTAGTCTACGTAAGAGGTAGAGCGACGGACAGTGAGGTGAGGTAAAAAAAGTGTGGCGCCTATTCGCTTTTCGTCGGGGTGTCATCGACTCCCTAGGGGTCTGGTGGGCTGGGGACGGGCTGAAACAGCACCTTCCACGGCACTCTCACGCAAGTGAGAGACACGCCGTTCAACCCCCGTTGTGTGAAATCCTGGTGTTGTGTGTATGGAGGGCCAGGTCGTACCATGGCGCGCGCAGTCATGGTCATTCGACCATGACAGCCACCGCGCCCATTTCCCACTCCAGTCTGCTGACCGGCTCGGACAGCGGCTGGGGTGTGGGAGTGGGAAGGGAGAGTGAGGTCGACGACTCAGCGCACTTTCTCCTCACTATAAACAATCTGACGCGCTTGAAGCTATCACGGTGCGCTAAAAGCCGTGGCTTGGAAGGTCGCCAACTGACGGGGTAACTTGGACCTCCTCCTTGACCGGAGGCGGTCTGAGAGTCAGGCTGCAATGGCTCCTTTTTAATGTGGCCTTTATGGCACTCCCATCACAGTGTGGGATCCGAGCTAGGCGTTGGCGGCACGCCCAGATGCGGCTTCGGCCGTGCCAGCCTCCAAATCTCTCTTGTGTTGGTTGAAATCCTGGTTATTTGTTGTGTGGACCAGGGGGTGTGGTGGAATGCCAAGGTGAGGATCCGTCCGAGCCATCCACCTGCGGCCTCTCTCGTCTCCGGTCTTATTGACTCTGTCTTGACACCGGGCTCGGGCGAGGGAGGAGGAGAGAGTGTAGGTAGATGCTACGCAAGTCTACCGGCACTATAAAGCCCTGCGTAAGTCGCCGTCTCTGCTCCCATTGCTGCTGCAACAGTGGGGCACACGGTGGACATAATCGAAAACGATGGTCGAACTGTCAGGGGTCTGTTTTTAGCCGGCAGTTTATAAACGCGAGGTACGTTTTTGTGCTCAAAAAATACCCATTCATCAGTCACCATTCAATCGATGGACACAGTGCTCCAATCTTCGAACAAGTTTCGCCGATGGCCAGGCAGTCAGTCGGACATAGTAATCATCGGATTTTCAAATTAGGATTTGGGTGGAGAAATTGTAGATGTAAGTTTTCACTGTAAAGGATGAAGAACAAGTAAACCAGATTTATCAAAATAATAATACCGGTAAGGACAAGGGAGACTGGAACGGCTATTTCAGGCATGTTAGCCGCCGTCGGCCAACCATACTCAACCCCGAGGTGCGGAGTCCAAATCGCAATCAACAGGGCAACTGGTCCGTGGCGCAGTGGCTAGGGTCATCGGACTTCTAACCAACGGGTCGAGGCTTCAAACTGTGGGTTTTGCATGCCTCGGGGTTGGGTGTGGCTAGCTGATGACGGCTAACATGCCAGAAATTGCCATTTCAGTCTCCCTTGCCTTTGCCAGTAATGGTATCCTGCTTATATTACGCGCCGCTGTGCGGCTGCTGGCGGAGCTCAAGACAGAGCCCCAAGGCACAACGGCACGAGGGAGTTCCGTAACACGATCGGTGTGCTCCCGAGTTGTTGTCGGTAGTGGCGGCCCATGGTCAGCGGCAGCGAGAGCCAACCAGCGAGGTCCAAGTTGCCGATTCCCACTGAGCCAGCCGTCGCATCCGTGATCTGAGTTCACACTGGCAGCCTAACGCGAGAGCCCGAAGATCGCCTGGGAGGCCAGGTAAGCTAATGCCTGGTGTGAGTGCGCCACTACAAATTAACCGATCAGGTGTGTCCTCTTTACTCTCAGACGGGAGCGGTTCAGCCCCCTCCCTACTGTTCCGGTGTGAAGATAACATCCTCTTGGAGCCTACGTTGCCTGAACTCAGTCCCAGCCTAGGATGATGCGGAGATGGCCAGCTATCCAACTACAACGAAAATGCCGCCATGTGTGATGTGACAGATGCGGCTGATTCAGTCACCAGAGCTACCATCAAAGCGCGGGTAGATGAGAAAGTTATGTGAGCAGTCGTGAGTGCACACACGATGCTTGGCGCAGCCTCGGGAACAACCGGCAGCTTGTTTTCGGAGCAGACAAGTCGCTCGACAAAGTTAAAATAAAACGGCCTCAGAAGTATTTGGCACCTGACAGTGGACGCTAGCTCAGTCAATTTACATGTCGACCGACCGCAGCCTTCGAGGATGTCTACCTGCGCCGCAGCCTTCAGCAACAAGGAGTTCTCAAGAAGCTTGATAAATGAGGAGGGTGGTACTTGGGTAGTACGTCCCAGTTACTGAATGTTAGTTTCCATGCGACAGCCATCGTGGGTTGTGGATTCTCAGCCCCAAGTTGGAGCGGAATCAGGGGTGGTCGACGCACGCACACCCCATTTGAATGAACTCTCAGTCAGCTGTTGGCGAGCGCCTTACGTAAAGTACCTGCAATTTTCCCCTCACATGGTCTCCAATGGCGTGCTCGACGAAAAGTGCAAATATCCAGGTGGACGCTCTGTCTTTCTAAATGATCGGCATCCATTCTACCGCGTTCGGCCTTGCCAAAGTCAAAGTGCCGAATTACGTTTCCACCTCCTAGACACGAGAATATGGAATAATTATTTGTTATAACACAGTGGTTTCATGCGGGAAACGCAACTGAGCATACTTTTGACATTATTCGAAATCCTCTCGCGACCAGTTGGGATATCTATGCATACTGCAAATAAAAAGGCACGCCATAAGACTAGGGCACGTGATCTGGGTAGACACACCGAGCCCTCGTTTGCGCAGTCGCGCGTGCACGTATACCTGCGTCTTAATTATCTCGGCAAGTGCCTGTCCAGTAACTAGGTCGGAGTTGCAGCATGGGCATATACGACAGTTCGAACGTCGATTGCGACGATGTCCACCGTGTGCTCCACTGCAAGGCGAGAGAAGGGACGTTGACTTGCGCAACACCCAGCACACGCTCTCTCCCCCACTCCCCACCTGGACCCGGTGTCAAGAAAGAGTCAA